CATATTTAACCTTCACCTAGTCCTCACCAGTAGTAGGTAGAACCTATCTCTGGATAAGTTTCAAACTGCTGGTAGAGGTATAAGTGGGGCCAGCAGGGGGCGCTCACCCTGCTGCCTGTGTGGGTCCTTATGCCCCAGTATAGTGACAGGGACACTATATTGCAAAAGGGCACCGTCCTTTGGATAAGTCCTGAGTCTATGTGGTCATTAAAAAAAACAGGGTGTTTCTCGAAAAAAGTAGGGGTGTTAACCCTGGTGTCCTGGCCAAATTTCCCATTGGCCTTTACCAATCATGACCTCATAATAATCCCCATCTATGAATTAGCTTCATTACTCTGTTCTCATACAGGTGCATTATGGCTGCCGTCACATCATCCAGGTGGGGGCTACACATTAGTTTTGGTGGAGGGGAGTCCCCATTACCTGTAAAGCGCTTTGAGTGGAGTGTCCACAAAAGTGGTATATACAGTAAGTGTAAGGAATTATTATTATTATTATCTCTGACAGATAACAATTGGCCCAGATGTGAGTGTGTATACTGTATATGTGTCTGTGTGTGCCCTGAAATGGACTGTTGTCCTGTCCAGGGTATATACAGTACCACCTTGCAGCCATTTCTTGCTGAGATAGGTACCGGATCCAGGACAATTCTAAATTGGATAACAAGGTTAGAAAATGTATAGATGGATTTGTTAAGAGTGAAAATTTCACCGTCATCTTGAAGCAAAGTGGTTTTTTTTTTAATACAGTATTTTAGCCGGGGATCTCTTCAGAATTGCGTTTTGCCTAAAGGAGCAAACCCAATGACTAAGAAGAGTAGAACAAAGCAACATTGTTTTACACAGAAATGTCTTTTCAGTGGCTGTGTTAGATTTTGAATTGGAAAAAAAAAAGAACAGAGGCCAAGCAGAGATTTGACAAATTGCTGTGGTAAGTAAGGCTTTACTGCATATTTATCATCTCTGTTGCCTCTGTGAACAGAATATGCACTACAACATGCACTTACACCTGCAGAACCCACTTTGATCACATGTTAGGTATTTCATGCACACTCATAAATCAGTCAGGGAGCAACTTCTCCGCACCAATGCCCTCATTATGCAGTAGAGTGAGGGAAAATATAAGATCATGGGTGCTTATCATGCCTTCACTGATAACTGCTTTTTTACCCATGCAGAACAATCATGTTTCTTGTTTATCCAGCTACATAGTGTGCTGATCCTGTTTTTATCACAAACAGAGCCTTTTTTGTTTAAACTATAGCGGTGACATTGAAAACAGGGGCCTGCGTAGCAGCACTGTCGGTTTTGTAATCCCTGGGAAAAGTCACACTGGCAGTCCTGTCTCTATCCATAGCTTAAGGTGAGAAAACCCTGCAGACAAACATTTCACACCTTCCTTTCTGCACAAACAAGAACTGACTGTTATTAAATACTGTAGAATATGGCAGTCATATAAGTATGAGTCATGAAGAACGTTTATTCATATCTTCAGTATTGTCATTACTCATACACATATAAAATTGGCTTCAGATTTCAAACTGAAATTACTTTGTAAGGTACAGTTATGTTTGTAATTTAGTGAGAAACATCATTCTTCTTATAGCCAAGAAGACAGAATGAACCTTCATCAAAATAAACTGCAGTATTGTTCTCGTGTATAATTATGGAGGTAATGTCTTAATTACTCTAATAATATTCAGATTTTAAACAATAATCATCAAAATGCTGCTGAACTTATAAAAGGTATAAAGGTGTAAACAAATAGGTATCTGTCTTAAAGGGTTACTGTTTCAATTTAGTAACCACAAGAGGGCAGCAAGAGTCATGGAAATAATTGTTTAAACAGTAATCACCATCACTATAGGTTATCTATAAGAAATCAGTGATGTTAAAAATGTAGATATATTACTTTACATATGTAAATTGCTTTACTTTCATGATTATACCAACCTAAGTTTGTAGTACACTGGCTAAATAAGTTTTTGTAGCAGCAGAAATCTGACATTTATGCAACATTTATAATTTTATATATTTTATACATTATAATATATATAACTGTGCCTGGATGATTCCCTTAAACCTTGGATTTTACCACCTAGGCAAGGTAGGTTGGGATTTTGGAATAATGTGGAGAATAATGTGGAATAATATGGAAGCCTCAATCTTGGTTTATTCAAGAATATCACTTTACAATAGTTTGCCTTTGGATAATATATACCAAGGTTTTTCCATGATCAGAATCATAGCAACTTATGCGCTATGGTGCAAAAGAAGCAGGTTTGCATATTGCTGTTATGTGTTACTTAAAAAAAAAATATGCCTAGGGCCACAAGCTTAATGAACACAGCAACAATATTTTTGTCTCATGTCAATTAGCGAGCACCAGGAGTGAGTTTTGAAGTTACTTACAAAGTACATACTCAAATAGGACACAAGACTGTGTTAGATGCAGGCAGTTTCACCCTTTAAGGCTTAAACTGTATATAAACTGACACAATAACAACTCCAGACACAGAGCAAATTCAAGCAGTACAAGGTGACTTTGATAATCACGACAGGCATTACAGGCGCTGATCACAGAGGCCACTAAAGCACAAAAGAAATTCACAGTAAAAAAGTACACAATAATATCTTGCAGTATTACACGTTAGCAATTAATCCGCAATTGATATTAAATATTAGCTCTTTGTGGAAAAACATGAAACCAGAGACACAATATATACCAATGTTTGAATATACACAATTTCTACACATAGAGAAACTGCCTTGAAATGTGTTATAATTCATGTTGTCACACGTTGTTGAGAGTGCCAACAGCTAAATCATAAGAAAACTATTATACACAGAAGATCAAACAATGTGAGTAGAATTTATTTTGATTTATCAATGTATACACTTGCTGCACATAAATACAACAATAAACCAGCAGCTTTGGAATTTAAATGTGCTGTGTTAGTTTATTTTAAGGTTCTAATAATCCAGAAATGAGAATGCTTAGCAAATCTCACCTTTAAAAGCTAAATACAGAGCTATGGTACATTAATTTAAGGATTTAAGTTTGAAAATGTAATTCAACCCCTGCTATTAATTCAAAGGCCAAACAGATGCATCTCTCCTGCTGTGCCTAAATTAACAGACTTGAGGAATCTTTTATTTAGGAGGAATGCACACATACACATGGAAAATGCAAAGCTAATTAATTACCAGTTTTCATTTGAACTGGAGAAATTACCCAAGTACTGGGCAGACCAAACACATCAACTTCAACAAAACATTTTACTTCAAAAGATCAGTGTTATATTACAGTATTGTGAAACCAGCAAAAATGTAAAAACATACCAGTACTATTCAAATCATTCTGCAGCTCAGAACTAAAAAATGTCAGAGATAAAAACTTTGTGAAATTGAAACAAGTTTCGGATCTTTGTACCTTGAGACGAAAGATCTTACTCGTCTCTTTATTTTTTACTCATACTTTTGAAATAGATATCAGGAAATTAAAAATCGTTACAATCACTAGAGATGTCCAGTAAGTTTGAAAACCTAAACATTCTTATATTCATTTATGAAGAAAGAATAAACGACAGAAAATTCTACAACTTTAATGCATTAGAAGGCGTGAAATAATAAAATGCTCAGAGTTCAGATTTACTATGAACTGAAAATGCACTTATAAAAATGTTAATGCTCTCCCAGAGACAAATAATCATTGACAGGAGACATTATATGTTCCTCAGACGAAAGGTAAACCATGCACATTTTTTCATATATTGTATATGGCTGGTAATAAATCAACTTTGAGCTGTCTTATATAACATAGCAAATTAGTCTGAATGGGTAAGCCCGGCTAGGAGTTTCTGTGGACTGACCTACCACCCTTAAAATTCAGGTTGCATAGCTGTAAATTTCTTTGAATTAAAAAAGTAAGTTTTCATTTCAAAACTTAAGAACTTTGTAGCAAAATATAACAGGTATCATGCTTTGCTAAAGCTGTAAATTTGAATATTGTTTGAAATCATGGTTGCCTGTACTTTACAGACTCAGTTAAATGTAATGGCATGTCAAAAGACACAATTTTGACCTCCCCCAATACATACACATACTCCTATACAGTACATAGGTCTAATAATGTACAGTATGCTTCACTCCAGGAATCACATAGTGGAATGATATGATTTCCATGAAACCATATTATTCTTTGACCTCAGTGTAATATATTTGGAAAAAAAAACATTGGTAAAACTATATTGGACAGGAAATAAAACATTAGAAGATTCACTGTGAAGGCATTTGTGGGGATTACCCTTTTGAAATTGACCTATAAGATTCTACAGAGAATTAGGACATTTCTATAGAAACCTATACTGTATGTTATCTATAGGTTATTTTTGTGAACCATATAGGTTTTTAATTACTTGTGTCTTCAAAGGTTTTACAAAATAGTTTCTTTTTTACTTAGCCATAAAAAACCCTCAACATTTCTTGCAGAATTAAAGAAACGCAATGATCAAACAGTCCAGTTAACCTTAGAGAATTCCCAATTTAAGATAGCAAACAACAGTTTTATGGGTCAAAAAATACTGTCAAGGATACGGAAACGATAGGATATAATTCTAAAAAATAGCTTTGTAGGAAAGGATGTAATTCTTTTAATAAAAGTATACAACTTCTGTAGTACTGTTCAGGGTTAAGCTAAACTATTTTGCTTTTTCTTCAACTAAGAATATTGTTTAATTTTAATATATATGCTCTGGCATCTCTAAAAAAGGTTTAATGAATTAACAACTGTTGTTATATGCATTCAACGAAGAGTTTATCCACATATTTGAACAACGTGTGACAGCTGACATCTCGTTAAAGTACACTTAGAATAGTTTTTTCGCCTTCAGGTCCGACAATGTCAGCCATTTTCTCTTGGCAAAAGGTCGATGTCTTCCATGTTGTTCAAAAGGAAGCACGTTTCTGGTTCTGCAGTTAGATGGCAGTATGGGACTGGGAGTTCAAAGAGGAAACTGCTGATCTGAGGAGAGGAAATAGGCACATGATGATAGGCGCTGTGGACAGAAGCAGGAAGCTGAAGAATGCGTGTGTTCCTAAGCCCCTGTTGTAGGATTTCACTGGTATTGCTGGGCTCAAGGTCTGGTTTAAAAAACGGGCTCGGTTTGCAAGCAGTCACCCCGTACCTAAGAAAAATGTTGCATTATCAAACGGAGGAAAGAGGACGGCCGAATACTCTTGACTACAGGATCTATTTTAGTAAGTTATGTCTCGCCCCGAGAAATCCGAATTGTATGCGGATTTTTCAAAATGCCTTTCACGTGTAACATAACCTCATTCATTTAGCAGCGGATTTGACCTGTTTCCGGATAACACGGCAACGACCGAACTTGACATTTCCGGTCAGGCTACTTTGCATTATATATTAATATTCGGTGATCTGAATATTTAAATATGGAAAGCCCTGTTCTTTTAGCATGTATTTTATTTCTGAAAGAGCACACACAAAGCAGATTACATTATTGTGAAACTCCGTATTAATATTTCAGCGCCCATTGCCACTGTGCAGTAGTTATCATTAACGAATGAAACATCGTATTTACATCGGACCTGTTCATTTGTAAGATGACTTTTTAAAACATAAAGGCAAATGGTTTCGCAGCGTTTATTGGCTACAGTTCAGGGTTTGTTTGTAGCGGCATAGAAGTAATGCCTCTTGCTTGGTAGCAGTCTAATGTTGTGACCATCAATCCCGTGGATTATTAAAAATGGATGTGTTTGTAACGAATGGATTTATTATATAAAGGAGTCATCGATATTCTAATAATAACAGCCCAAACGTCGTTCTCCATGTGAATAAGAAGCAATACAAAATATGTAGGTAAAGAGATGTTGAGATTCATTTGCATTATTAAAACAGTTTGTAGATAAGGTACCTAATGTATAATTTATGAACTGGGTGCTTCAAGCCTCCTTATGGCTGTTGAGATCAGTGGTGTTCAGCCTTGGTCCTAGAGTAACACACTCTCCTGGTCATCATTCCAGCTGTGCTGTGAGGTTCCAGTGCTAATTGGTGGCAAACTGTAATTGACATTCTTGCTTGTTTAGACGTACAGACCTTTACACAGGTCTTGACTTGCTTGCCATTATTTCTGAGTAAACAACCCCTTACGAGTTGGTCAGTGAGTGATGAACAGACACTGTATGAGACAAGCCTGCAATGAGCGTTTCTCCTTCTTCAGAGGTCCCGTTGGATACATTTCTGACGGCACACCTCAATGAGGGCAGTTCTCAAACTCAGAAATTGGTGAAGAGTTGATACCAATTATACATCACATTTGACCCTTTAAGAGCTGTAAGCAAATGTACAAAGATGTCCTAATAGAAAACCAAAGTCAGTGAGCCTTTGGTTAAGCAATTCATTTTCTTAGCTCAGAGACAGTATTTGAGCAGGACCAGGGTAGGGAACCAGGGGCTTAGACTTTTGTTTTGTCCCTTCACATGCTCTCCCACCCCTTTTCTTAGGTGTCGGTAATGGTGTCGCTATGTACATATATATGGTTGACAGTGTTGGGCCTGTAAATACATCTTGGTGATCCTCAGACAGTTTTGTTATAACTCATTGCCTGCAGTATCCTGCCACACATGCAGCGCTGTGGCTCGTCTTGTACAGAGCTGGTTGGTGGCTGTTGAGGGTCTGGGTTCAAATCCTCAGGTCTCCACAGACTACACAGCATTTTATAAACCCCCCCACACACACACAGACACAGTGTGTACCCTGGCACTTGCAATCTGCCTTGCAAGAAGTACCTGTTGTTTTACTGAATTTATTTCTACAGTATGGATCTATTCCCTCCTAAAGTGTCTGTTTCCATCCTGTACTGTTGGTAGAGAGGGAATGACAGGAGTTCCACTCAGATTAATTTATTTTTTCCTCTCATGCCTTAAGGAGAGATTTTACAACATCCCAAGTGCACAATGTAGTTGTTACACATTTGTTAGCAATTGTTTTGAAAATCCCCACAGTGGCGGGTCACTTTCATCCTCATCTAGGAGGGGAGGGATGGGGAGTTTCCCTTGGCTGCAACATTTTGGAATAAATCCCCCCCATTTTTCATATAAGATCTCTGTTTAACCCTCACAGACACATCACTTCTGCCCCAGTCTGACAGCATTACTTTGTGCTGTCAGCTGTTTTTGTGTGTGTGTGTGTGGGTTATAATACTTTGTATTGGCTTTTGTTTCTTGCATGATAAAACTATCATGAAATGCAAAATAAATAAAAATGAGATTGTTTGTCACACAGTGCTGCATGTTTATGTTAGCACATAGACTGTAAGTCTTTTTCTAGACCTTACGGTTCAGGCAAGTCTTGATGGTCAAGGGATCACTGATATTCTGATCACATAAATCCTGTCCTTTTTGCAATGAAATTAGTTGTTTTATTATAGCTGTTTATTCTCAGAAATGCAACATTTTGTTTATGTGCATTGATTTCTGTTGTGTGATGAAGTGGTGTACTGAACACTAAAATGATGGATCTCCGTGCTTGGTTTTAAGGGGTAGAGTATGGTAGTTAAGGCACAGAATAGTGCCTGTATCTGTAGATGTCCCTCGCTTATCACTTGAACAGCCTGTCATTTACTTACAGGGAAAGATGTATGTTTATGACAATTCATATTTTATTTTAACCCCTATTTTACCAGGGAAGTTAAATATTAACTGCTGAGACCTAGCTATGAAAAACAACATGATAAATCAATTAGGCTTAGAATTTGTAATAAAGCAAACTGTGTTTACACTGAAGAATACCAATATCTGTAGCTTACAAGATGAGGAGGTCCCATAGAGAAAGCAATTTTAAAGCACAATAATCTTAATGGTGATAAGACAGCAATTTTTTTTAAACCGTATTAAATTCTGGATTATGTTCAAGTAGTGTGTAATAATGAGAGCTTTTCTCTTTTTGTTGATCTTTAGAAAACCAAGGGATACGATCATTGATATTTTACAAGCCAAAGATTGAATATGTGGTTATTAAAAAAAAACACACATCCAGCCTCAATACCCTACCCAGTCTGCTATTCATTTAGGAAAACTATAACGTGGTCATTGAGGAAAGAGGCGATTATCATTTGGAGTGACAAGAAAGGCACTCCAAGTACACAGTGCCGATAAGTAAAACTTAAATTTATATTAGCAAAGTAAGGCTCAGTATTTAATGAATTTCCGTTGAACAGAAGCCAAATACTTCTAGAATAAAAATGCTGCGATGGAAGGCTTTGTCGGCTGACATTTTGAGTTAAAACTTCAGGCAGTGTAATGTAGTGTGAAGGATGAACACACTTTGGTGGCATGCAATAAAGATGTTTTTCGTATGTCACCAATTAAAGGCATGTGTTCTAAGTGGACAGGTGATAGGCCTGTAAAACTGTTTGTGTGAGATCTCTGTTCATCCATAAATCACCATCACTGAAAGATGTTAACTGTGGCGCAAAGTTAATATGTCTGGTGGATTACAAGGATAAAAAATGCTGAAGGAGAGTTTTATCGCATCATTATGCTCCCTTTGGCTTGATGTGTGCAATTAGTAGTAATTGACCCTCCTTGTGCACTGAATTTAGTACAGTTGTGGATGAGTAAGTTATATTACCCGAGACAATTGCGTTTGTTTCTTCATGTGTAGGAAATATATATATATATGTGTGTGTGCATTTGAAGATTTTGAAAGGCAGATTTAAATCCAAAACCTGATTTTAGTTTAAGTTCTTTCAGAAATGAACTCTATTTGGCTATGTCAGTCTAGAGTGTTTTTTTATATACAGTATGTTTCAATTTTCAAAATAGTCATGGCAACCACGAGCAGTACATGATTATGAATGTGTGAACATTTTTTTTCCATTACCATAAGCCAGGAACTGAATAGTGCAAGTACATCAAAGGACCTTTTAATGAATGGTCTCTTGACTGGCTAAAATCAAGTCATACAGCAGGTCTGACTGTTCAATAGCTGGGAAAAAAGTCTTTAAACACGTGTCTGACAGAGCTGAGTCAAGCAAGTCCTTTGATTCTTTTTTATAACCTGAATTGATGTTGGAAGATTGAAAATGATAAAGCTAGAACATTTTTTGCATATTTTATTGTGCACATTTTAATAATTCCATGTCTACTCGGATACTAATATGTACTGTACACATAGGGTGTGCTGGTTAACTTTAGAATTGAAACAACACCTGTGACAGTGTGTGTCCTCAAAAGGAAATTTGTTTTTTCTGATGAGAGATGTTTGAATAGGAAAACAATGTGATTATTCTTGTTTTTAAGTAAAAGTTACCTCCAAGCTGTCTTCTTTAGCATTTTAACTTTCTCTGTGATTAGTGGTCTTGAGAGCACAATGGCTCCTCTTGATCGTCTTGGTGACGTAAAGTCAGGAAGAGAGAGGAACACATTCTCATGGATTAGAGAGATATAGCTGGAGAGGCTTAACATTGTTTGTAAATCTTGTTCTTATTTAAAGTATAATCCTAGTTCCGTGCTCAGTGAAGGGAGAATTTCATGTCTCGTAAGATAATTCTCAGCATCTTTGCAGCTATGAAAAACTGATGTTTGTAACTCATACAACATTCAGGGTTCACAAAGAAAAACTATTAGGTATTTTCGTTAGCCTACTTTACATAATAATACTAATAATAATATGTTAAATCATTCTCAGTGAGAAAAATAAAAAAAATGATTATTTCTGGAATTTCTGTTTTTCCCCAATTTATTTTGCTGCAGTGTACTTACACCTGTTTTGCAGTACAGCAGCACAGCTCAACTTTATATTGCTGTCTTTAGCATGAAAGTATGATTACAAGAATGTCTGTATTCCCAGACAATGTAACTGTCTTGTATTTCATTTTCTAACCTTTGTCAAATGCTGAAACAAATGCAACACAGTTTAGCACGCCCACTTCAACTTCAAACTGGAATGTGAAATTTGGAATGCTTGCTGGCTGTGTGTGTAGTTTCCAAACTTTGACATTTTTTAAGTTTCTTGATTTTTCTCAGTTTCTCAGTGATTTAGTAATGTGCAATATGTGGCTGTCGCTTGAGTTTGACAAAACCAAAGTTGTTGACAGGGTTGTGGGGTGTTCTTGCAGTTAATACACATTAGAGAAGGGTCATACTGTAAGAAGAGCCAATCATTTTCAGGCCATTCCTTTTATACATCAGGAACATAGAATACATGCATAGAATGGTTGAGACTAAAAGCCAGGATACTATTTACAATTATCTTACTGCTATTAATTGCAGGACTGGAAAGTGAAACAGCTTAGCCCTGGGGCGTGAAACATTCTTATAAATACTGTGATAGGAAAACAAAAGGAGGTGCTCAGATATATATGCATATAAGGAAATTATGCAAAACCGGCTCCTTTTGGCCTCCTGAAAGTATTCTTGATATTATTGTTTTATTTTTTTATTTGTGTTTTTGCAGAATCCTCAGAGGGAAAATATATCTCGCCTTTCCATGATATTCCACTTTTCGTTGGAGATGAGCAGGTAAATGGGAGATTTTTAATGTACCAATTAGGTATGAGTATAGCTTGCTACGCTTCTTCACCTCTTTAAAGAGATAGCATGACGGGATTACCATAGAGGATTACCGCTGATTGTACTGAAAATAAGAAAGGTTACAAATGAGAGAATACCATCCAATCCATAATATTGTTTGATTGCTAGTAGCTCTGTGCATTCTCCTTCAATCATTTTTTGCACTTGTCTGTATTAAATGACACCTACCAGGTATTAGCTTGAATTATGTCCAAGCCTTTTTCAATATCCTGTCACATGTACAATTTTTGCTAACCCTGCTATTTTGGCGCATTTTATTAACTCAGATATCGACTATACTACAATCTAGATCATTAATATAAATTAGGTATTGTACTGGTTCTAATATTGGTCCCTGCGGTTCGCCACTAATTTCATTAACCCAGTTTGAACGTTTGCCCTTTATCTGTTTTCTGTTTACTATCCATCAAGTTATTTCTTCATCCAAATACACACGTTACATTGAATGTCCACTGCCTACAATTTGAGAAGCAAACTTTTACAAGGAACTTTATCAAAAGCTTTTTGAAAATCCTAATGAACATTAATGATAATCCGTTTCCATTACCTCTGTTGCATGTTCAAAATAAACTAATGCTTACATTTTCTAAATCAGTCTTAGAATCCTGTCTCTCTATGGATTGTCCTCTAGCTTAGCTCTAATGATCATTTTCATATCCTTAAATGTAATTTAAGTAAGACCCTTTGGTTTCTAATTATTCATAATGCTAGTTCCCTCTTACTTATCTTCTTTCGTTCTCTGGAACATTAAACATTAATTTTGTGTTTTTTCTTGTCACTGTCCGTTAGCCAGATTACGGCAATTCCATATCACAATTTCCCGTGGATTCAGTAGCTTCCGTTTTTGCATTTTTTGTCCTGATACTCCTATTATTTCGGTATGAGTACTTAATGACATGGTCCAATGGCGTTTCATTTCTTCTGGGATTGTCTTTTTGGCTGTATCTCCCTTGCAGATCTTCTTTGGCTTTTGCTCTCTTCCATTCTAGTTTAAACATGTTGGAATTTCTTAATAGATCCTTGCCCCAAGCTGTCTGCTATCCATTTTCTTTAGATATAACCCATCACTGCAGTACACATGGCTTTTTCCATAGAAATTATAGGGGTGGTGCTTTGGGGATTCAATATTCACAGTTCCTCTTGGACTATTTTAGCCTTCCTGTATCAGTGCAAATGGAGTATACTGTAAAATTATTAGGAGTAGGTGAGTTATGTATATCCTCTATAGCAATGGTTCTCAAACTTTTTGGACCAAGTACCACCCCTAATCCAACCAAAGCATCCTAGTACCACCTACAAGTCATCAACTCATAGGAACCCCAGAAATTCTCAATGACCAACATGAGCGCACGTGTACACATACTCACACATACATATAATAAATATTATTATAATAAACTTTATTTGATATAGCGCCTTTAAAGGTGGCTTCTCAAAGTGTTTTACAGAAAAAAAAACATTAACAACAACTAATAAAAAAGCACCATTTCAGTGAGAGGGGTGAGCCTGTTTAGTTGAGCAAAGCAGATGTGAATTAATTTTTTGAGACTTGATACAATTCACAACAGAGTCTAACAGATTTTAAATCGTCAGGCATTTTCTTGATGGCAATGGTCTCGCGGTGGATGTTGTAATGCGTACATTAATTTCTGGAGCAACCTATCTAATTCGTGCAACTACACCGTTATGTCGGTTTGTCATTGCTCTAGCACCGTCTGTACAAACTCGGACGCATTTTATCCAGTCGAGGCCATTCTCTTCGATAAATTCATTCAGAAGCTGAAATATGTGCTCTCCTGTAGTTCCTGTTGGTAGCGGTTTACAGAACAGAAAGTCCTCATGGGACATGCCCTCAAACCCGTATCTAACATAAACGAGCAAATTGGCCAAATCGACTACAGACTCATCTAATTGCAGTGAAAAACATCTGCTCATCTTAATGCGCTCTATCAGTGTACTTTTGATATAATCCTTCATTTCAGTAATTCTATGAATGACTGTGTCTTTCAGGGGGAGGGGGGCAGCAGGTCGAGCTGTTTCGCAGCTTTTTCTCTACACATAATACGTCGGCTCTTTTGCCAACAGTAAATAAGGTTCTTCATAAATAGTGTAGTTTACCTGCTTTAGCAATCCGCAAGCTTGCATTTTTCCGCGTTTACGTTTTTATTTCCATATTTATTTAAAGTTTTTATTTCATGTGCATGGGAGCGAAACACAGAGACGCTCGGTGTATTTTTCTCAAATTAGAACAGTTCTGAAATATTTTTCTGTTATCACGCTTTCGTGTGCTCACCAGATTACCTGCGTTCGTAGCACGTATTTCTATGTATTCCTGTGTTTACAACGTTGGCATTGTTCCAAAATCACGTACATTCTCCTTTCTCCCTATTTGCTGGAGATACAGTAGCTTTTTTTAAATACAATTGGTCACTTGCATCCGTAGCACGCATTCCTAAAGAGTGGTATAGAATTACAGAGTATCTCTTGTGTCCACTGAAGTATTAGCGCGCACTGTATCGTAGTACGTAGGCTGCGTATTCAACATGTGTTAAAATACAAAATATGAAAACCCGTCCCGATTTTTCAGCGCACACGACACAGTTCCAGGGTCATTTGGTGTACCACTTGGCGGCACTCCACGTACCACTGCCGGTAAGCGTACCACAGTTTGAGAACCACTGCTCTATAGAGTTTTCTTGGCTGTTAGATTTTTTTTCCATATATTTCTTCAGGGTTATGGCCAAGATGTTCCCTTAAGGATAATCTATGTAAGACATTGGTATCCGTGTAAGTGACTAAGTGCTTTGCAAGATGTGGAGAATTCTACTGTTTCATACTGCTGCTAGCTATTGTGCACTTGAAAAATGAGATGCTGTCCGTATGTCATCTGTCATGGCGTCAGGCCAGATGATACTGTCTTTGTGCTGGTTTCCTGATGGATGAAGAAGTTGACTTCCTCTGCAGGAGTCGTGCGAAACTGCACTGCAGCCAAGTCTGGCGAGTCACTGCCTTTGCTCGAGCAAGGTGTAATGGTTGCTCCATCACAGCTCTTTATATCCTGGTTTTGCTGACCTGAATTTACTCCAGCAAACAATATCAGGTCCATTATTTCAGATTTAATTATCAACCTAATCCTCCGTGATTGTGTTGACGCTGATACCTTGGCTTCATTCAAGGGATGGCTGGATGACATCCTTGGTTCACTTGCCCAATAACCAAATGAGTTTGTGAGCATTGTATGGCAATGTATGGCATTCTTACATTTCTGTGCTTTCTTGTGTTTGACAACCATATTAATATTTTGTTATTAAATGTAGAGGCTTGTAAAGACAGGCTCAGCTGAAACGTCAAACACTTAATAACGAGTGGTTTCCATTTTCAGTCTCTTTTACTTCAGTTACTGAACAGACATTCCATTCTGGATCTTTTTTACATCTCAGGATTTATAAACTAAATTTTCATAAGATAAATAAAATCCAAATGCCAGATAATGTCATTTTCTGTTATCCCTTTAAAAAATAATGAATACTACACTCCAGGTGGAATAATAAAGCAGTATTATACTCATCTGAAAGGTCATGCGGCTTTCCATGCATGATTTTGGTCTCATTTACAGTAGTTGCAGTTACATTTTTTAAGGATTAGCCCAAACATATATACATATGTCGCAGGGTTTTGATTTCATTTGGTGTAAAACAGTTACTCTGCTCAGACTGAATCGCTTATAGGTACAGTAAATCAGCCTTACCTTTGTATGTTTTTTTAGGAAAGGCTTAATGTTCAGTGCAAAAGAAAAAAGGTCACTTTAACAGAATAATCAGAATCCAGTAATGGTATGGTGTTTGCATTAGGCATACAGATCATCTAATGGTTCATTTGCTGAGCTTAAAGACGCAAGCTCTTGTACTGCAGAAAAAAATATGGGATTCATTTTAGATGTTAGGAGTGGTGTTTTATCTCTGGAAACTTAGTTAAAAACAGGTATTTTCTGGTAGTCTTTTTTTTCTTTTGTTGTTGATGCCGACACTGTAAACCAAGAAAACAGCACAGGATCGATTGTTAAATGTATTGTACTGGCATAGAATACTTCAAAGTGCCTGCAAGCTGTTCTTTAACTAGTAATTTTCATGCAGCAGTCCACACACCAAGTATGAATATATAAGCCACAGATTTCTGCATTGATTTCTGAGCCTCCAACCATGAAGACAGAAAGCCTTTTGAAAAGCATAATTCAATCCGACAAGGAAAAAAATGTTAATTGAATAGTGTGAAAGGTTAAGTGTTTTTGCAGAGGTCTTGTCAATACTAATGTGTCCTACATAGATTTCCAACTGTTCCTTTCCAGAATGCAGCAAATTGTATTCCAGAAAAGGAGCAGCTCCTATTAACATGCTTTGCAGAGAGGAATTAATTTAAACTGAAAACGGATACAAGAAGCTAATATGGAACTAACGATGAGAAGATCCTGGAGAATGGACTGAACTTGCTTTGTCATGTACCTAATAAATTAATAGTCATTAACTGTAGATAATGTGTTAATTAAGGAAGCCAGAGGTGTGATGCAATCATTTACTACTGTATAGGCCTGTATGTGTATTTTATGCAATGTAAAAATCTGCCTGAGGGGGGGAAAAAGCTCTTATTTTGTATGAGAGTTTAATTTTTACGTATCCTACATAGACAGTTTTTGCGAAAATAACACATTTTGAACTGTATTTCTGTAGGCATTTCTCTGTGGAGTTTTATGACCAAAGGAAACTTTAAGCATTGGATGAACTTTGCAACTTAATTTACTGTTTTCTGATATTAAAACTTGAAAGAACATACGGATTTTCAGAGTTTGAAAGAGGTTAGAAAGAAGTTTTTAAAAACCTAGAATGCTCCTAGAACCTAGAATGTAAAATGCTTTTACAGTCACACTGGTGTCAGCCATTGCAACATATGACTCAGTCAGCATTTACATCCTTAGCACAAAGCCCTGTGTCTCCATAACCTGGTGGATGATCCAAATCCCATTTTCTGAGATATCCTGAGTCTCTACATCAGCAGCCTATGAACTGAAGAGCAGAGGTCACTTTGACCAGTTGAACCTGACCTCTGTCCCTCAAGAGCTCGGGTGGAGATCATTTACTGTATGAAGACCCACGATATCTGCTTTTGTCTTAGTGGGGTGTGACACTCTGTGGTGTTGTATCCCTCACTTTCAGCAGCATTGTTTGAAATCTACACTGAAGATCTGCATGGAAGAAGGTTTGAAATAAAGTCTTTGATGTTGACTTTGTGTGACCATGTTCTTCTTGTTTTTTTACATTTTCTAAGTGTGGTCAGTTTTTTTTAAAGAACTCAAGAAAAGTATTCAGTAGTGTGCTCTCTTTATTTATTCTGGGTCTCATGACTGTAGGACTCCTGGCAAGCTTAACGTATCTAAACACACATTAAGGAATCATGAAGGGTGAAGCCCCCAGTAAACAGTTCTAAGGTGCTGTAACTCCCATTTTATAAATGCCACCTTAAAGCTCATGCAGTCCATGCTACTGTTATTCTTGAATAATGATAACCTTTATTTTATACAGTGCCTTTCATGGCATAGGATTTCTAGGCACTGAATAACAAAACAAATGAGATATTTGTGTGCAGATTAAAAAAAAGGAAATGAAACAAGTAAATTCTGAAATATAAAAACAATGTTAAGGACAGGGTTTGACAGACTTGATGGGCTCGGAGGTTATTCCGTAGTCCTGGAGCAAAAGAACAGTCCCATTGTTCAGTGTCTTGAGCTATGGAAAGAATGGCATGAAGGCATGACACATTCACCTCATGTAAAGATGTTGGATGCTGTGTTGTATTTGGAGTCAGGAGCAATACATTACTGAACATATCAGGCCTTGGCTGTATCGGCACTTTTTACTCTTACTCCATCTTTATGCCTATCAAATGACTAAAATATGTTGATAACACTTGATATGTGAAATATTTTTGTTAACTAAGTTATATGCATATACATTTTTCCCCCCACAGGAAAATGATGTCCCTTCCAAGAGGGTTAAGAAAAATGAAAATGAGGTATTTCTGGTTTGTCAGCCCGTTTCCTGATACGAACATACCCTGCTTTTCCAGACTTCTCACATTTCTGTGGCGAAGACAGAAGGATGTAAACATTCAGATCAGAAGTAGTTATTATGCTAAAGATTGATAAAGTCATTGACAAAAGATGGATCATAAATATAGTACTTGTATGTTTAGCAAAACATTTTTTGCACAACTTTGTGTTTTACTATGTGGTTATTCCAGTGAAGAATAACATTTCTCAGGCTCACAGTCTCTACTAATAGCTGTTATATTTTTTTGCTAGTCTATCAAGGTGCTTTTACACCGTTTCTTGATACCTGATTGTGGAATTTGATTATGGATTACTGATGCAAAACCTGATTTTTCTGATTTTGCAATAAACTACTTGCAGTTCTTAAGTGAGGGATACTATAGTATGGCTTTCTTTTGTTTTGCCTGATAACAAATTTCAGAAAGTGCTGTGCTTTTTCAAAATCACAGCATTAATCACAGTTTTATTTTGAAGAAAGCGCAAAGTGGAGCTCACCTTCAGATAGAAACGGTTACTTTGAACAAATGAAAACTTGTCAGGACATCTCCGGTTAAACGTGGTGAAAATAATGATAAGCCTGACCCATTTCAGACTGAATTTCACTCACACTCACAAAAATGAAGTGTGAGATAAAGGAGAATTGGAGATTAGTAATGTAATTTTAAAATGTGCTTGACTGAATAATTCAAAATGGATTCAGTTTGACATTAAAATGTAGTGACCACATACATACAAAGAACATATAAATATATACATTCTTGTTGGTTTTTTTTAACATTGAGGAAAGTAAACATCAGGATTTTCTGTGTCGGTGTGTAAGCAAGACTAGATGAAGGCACTATTCAGAGTAATTTGTTGACATAAGCCTGTATTCTAAGAATAATCTACATGTATGTTAGCTCAATACTTTACTTGAAATTTGGGGTGTAAATGTATTTTGAATAAAGTGTTTACATCACACTAAATATTCTGACTAACTAATTACAGAATATTACCCTGCTCATAAACACTCTTAAGAGAGTATCTTAAGAAATCTGAAATATTCATATTAATAAAAAACCCAAAAGATAAAAAAGACATTTTGAAATAGAACTGTAATTTAAAATGTAAATGTGAATTTGTATTTAAAATGTTAAACTGACAACGACCTGTTTAAACAAATAAAACTTTGATTCTTATTTTCTAGACCTTGTTTAATATGGTCGTGGAGGTGCCACGCTGGACAAATGCCAAAATGGAGGCAAGTACTTGTTTATTTTTTCATACATGTTTCTGCTATTAGGCAACATATTTAAATAGATATGGACTATAAAAGCATTAACATTCTGAATCATGGGCTGTGTTTTTTGAAAGCTGATACAATAGAATCTCTCATATCTTCTTTCCAAGTGGATGTACACAGTAGCTGTTAGTTTAGTGTACTGCAGGGAACATTAGGAACATTGAGTGAAGTCCTTCCTGCATTTCAGCACCATTTATACATGTGAAGTCAAGGTTTTTCTCAATACATGACCAAACTTTACTTTTATATTGTGATATGCAGCGTATGGGGTAGAATAAATATATATGACACCTCTAGGAGTGCTTATGCTGTATATTCCTGTATTTACTTATTAGCTAAGTAAGTAACTTTAAATTAATCTCAGTCCTACAGAATAGGTTAAGGGCTTAACTATGGTTTTAGATTGGTGACTGTCGCCTCACAGTTTGGCACCCAAACATACTAAACATGCTGTTTAATGACCAAACAGACTAGCAAATGCCCTCCTGAAAGGTGGGCCTGCAAAGCTTTTACAGTGCTTTTTAAACCAAAAATGCTACAGCCATTCCACAGCCCTGAATAGCTTAAATGCAGTGGCTTAAATTCACTGAGAAATGAGCCATAGTTGGTGCTGCACATTTGAAAGATTGTAAAGGTAGCTTGCCACTAAAGACATTTATGGTGGCATTATGAGATCTAATAATTTATTTTGTGGTTTGAGTATTCAGATCATATATCTCAGTTTACGTGGGACTAAAACCCATCTTTCATGAATCATCACATTTCAATTTTGCGATAATTGCGACCTTCACTAAAATGAAGAGTTTGTTACTAATATTAATGAGGATACTTATCAAGGTACAAAGCGTATTCTATCAAACCATGTAGAAAGGGAGCATTATTTCCAAGGGGCAATTTGGTTTAGAGCAGCAGACAATATAAAGAAAACCCACAAACAAACAATACATATGTACATACCCAAAAGTAAAGAATGTAGTGGTGTTTTTTGAACAAAAAATGTACAGTGAAGTTGTGGTGGTGTTATACAGGAAATTCCTGTTTGGAATTTCTCCTGTGTTCTTGACCAACTCAGTCACAAATCAGGATGCTGTGACGTTACAGATTCAATAAATCTGAGTGTTTTGACCAGCTCTTAATTCTTAGCAGTTTCACAAATGTATGTGTGATTACCAAGTACTTCCAGCAACAAACAAGGGTAAAGGTGTCATTTTGAAATAAATAACATTTCTTAAACTGTATTGGAGTTCTCTACAATGCTGACAAAAGCAGCACATCATCTCCAGGGAAGTGCTTTGTCACTAGTCATGGTTACTGCATTTAATTACGCATAATAAAACATTTGATAATCTGGGATTTCAGAAAATTACAGAGATAATTATGTTCAGCGTTTGAGAACCTATTACTTGTAGCGTCTTTAGTTCTATTCATGGTCTATTTGTGGTTTACATTGAAGTACTTCAAAGTGAAGCTATCAGTCATCTTTAAATTTATAAGTGTAGTGGCTACAATGTTATTTTGCAATCTGTGTGTATTCTGTGAATTTAGCACTAAATTGACCACTTAAGGAACGGAATTTTATGTTATCCAAAATTGTGTGCATGGTTTTGAGCAATGGTTCTCAATTCTGGGCCTGGTGACCCAGACGCCTGTTGGTTTTTGTTCCAGCCACACCTTCAGATATACAGTCAAATCCTTCATTGACTTAATAATTATAGATAATAAGATTCATTTGAACAGGTTGTTCCCAGCTCTTAAACATGTTGGCACATTAACCGTGTATTTTGTTTTTGAAATAAAATGCCAAACTTTGTGACTTGAAACAAAATGCAAATATTCAATTGAAACAACTTCTTAAAAAGACCTCAGTTATCTAATTAAGGTGCCATGGAATGAAAACCAACAGGAACAAAAACAAAAAAAATACTAATCCCTCCCTTTTACTGCCACCTGTTGGAAGGATACCACATTACTGACAAAAGGCATGAGCTATACATTTTGACAACCTCCGTTTAAGATGATAGTTTGAAGGAAGATAGGAAATCATTGATTCATTTGCTGTAACAGAATTTAAGAGCAATTTTGCAGTCCACTGAAGCAAACACATGCTTTTAGCAGTTTACTTCAGCCCTTTCTTTTATTTTCAATATAGTGAAAAAGACAAATGTTGAATGTCCTTCTATCTTTTTCCCACCATTTTCTGTGGGAAAACGTAAAAATCAATTTTATTTGTTTTCTGTAAAATGCAACATTGTTATATAATTTCAGATTAGGTCTCGAAAAATGTGAGGGTGGAAAGTTGGAACCAAAAATGTCCTAAAAATAACTCTGTGCACTCAATTTTTAATGCTTCTGCAGCCTCTGCAGTCGAAGTTTAATGATATTTGAACACTTTAGGCACACTGTAGGTTGTAAACTAGCGAACTCCCAACATCAAAGTCACTGCAAAGGTTGTTCTGGTTTTGAGATAAGCCAGTTATGAAAAATGAATGAATAAAATCACTAATGAACAAAATTATCAGTGCCTGAGCGCTGTGTTTGATCATTTGCCTTCCAAATCCACTGCCCCACTTGGAACTCCAGATTTTGGATCTGTTTTCATTCGCGCTTAAAACCTTTTTCCTTACTTTAAGGTTTTTTTTTCCTTTTTTTATTTTTGTCGCCTTTTAAAAAATGAGTTTTTTGAGTAAGTGCTTTGGAGTTCTGAGAAGTATTTTTTATTAAGTTAAACATAATGATTCCTTTTTCGTGCCACACAGTTCTTTCTGGAATGCTGGGTGTGACAAATTGCTTTTACCTGAAATTCACAACAGAGAGTCTATCTGGGGTGGATATACAGTATGTCTCATGACATAAATGATTGTTTTGTCTTTTCTGTAGATTGCAACAAAAGACCCGCTGAACCCAATTAAACAGGACGTAAAGAAAGGAAAACTTCGGTTTGTTGCTAATATATTTCCCCATAAAGGATATATTTGGAATTATGGTGCCCTTCCCCAGGTAAGACCTGAACTTCACCTTGTGTGAAAAACAGCCCTCTCTGAACTAAAACCATACATTTTAAATTTATGTTAATAAACTCATTAAGTCCTGTATTTCGTATAACATGCACACAGTACATAACATGAAAATTGGATAGATTGGCATTTGGGAAGATTGGACATTGAAGGTTTTATATTATGTACAGTAAGATGTTATGCATTACAGTTTCTAAATGTATTTGTTTATTAAAAAAATGTCTTCTGTTTCTTGAAATTGGTATTGGACTCCTTGCGATCCCTGAATGGGCTTGGTTTTTTTTTCCACTTGAGTATTCAGTTACAAAGTTGGTCTCATTATTTAATTATAACTGCATATCAACAATACTTCTAAGCAGGCTGTGTTGTTGTGTTGTGTTTTACAGGTAGCTGTACCTTTAATTTTGTGAACATTTTTATTTTCTTCATCAATTGAAAATTAGAACACAACAAACCCTGACAACAATGGAGAGCCACATCCAAAATTAAGTGAACATTTTGTAAAATACACTGCAAAAGACCTTAAGAAAAATCTTATATGTAAGGGATAATATGCTTATGTTCAATGTTCAATTAATGAGCGAACCAAGAACAATTTGACACCAATGTTTTAAAACATCCTAATGTACAGAAATTTACATTATCCATTTTTTTTCAGTTTAAATGAATATAAATTATGCGTGCCAGATTGAAAGCAAACATAATATAAAACACATTTCTTACAATGGTTTTAAGTTAAAAGTACAGTATTTTATTAATTTAGGAAAAGACAGATTCTTGGCTGCCTTGAACTCAGTGTACTTTTGCAAGTGCAGTGCTCCTAAATTTTATATAAATCTGGATCCAAATGTAAATTACTTATGTTAAATGTACTCTACAGTTGTCTTAATTCTTGCCTGATTGTTTGTCATAGTGCAGGTGTTCAGTTTGATTGAATAACACTTTTTTTTTAACAGACGTGGGAAGACCCAAGTCACACGGACAAAGACACAAAGTGCTGTGGTGACAACGATCCAATCGATGTTTGTGACATTGGTTCAAAGGTGTGTTTTTAGTTTAACACTCAGGACAAATTTTTTGGGTACGAAGAAAAGGTCTTCAAGGGGACGTTTGGGGCTTTCTGTGTTTAAGTGGTGACGTAGAAATGTCAGTTCTCCAGTCATCTTGGAAGATGTATCAGTCTCAATGTGGGCTCACTGTGTGAAAAGATGCAACTGCCTTGACAACACATCACATTGCAGACTCTACAGTTGTCTTAATTCTTGCCTGATTCTTTGTTATTGTGCAGATGTTCAGTTTGATTGAGTAAAGAATTTAAATTTCCCAGATTCTCTACTGTATATGCAGTGCAGTAGATACACTTTTTTTTCCAACAGTAACTGACTGTGGATTATTATCAGAAAATGGGCAGCCTGCTGCATGCCTCTAACTAAGCAAAGGTGTAAAAAAATCTTCACAGATGGAACCTAGTGAAAGTATTCAGCTTTTAGGGTAAAGGTCATTTTGTGTAGGTCTGCACCAACTTTTTTGTCCATTCTTTTTGGCAGATTTGCTGAAGCACACTCCAGTGGTTTAGGGATTTCTTCTGCAAATCTTTCTGCTGATTCTTTGTAGGATTCAAGTCAAGACTTTGAATGGACCTCTCAAGCACATTCATTCTCTCATCCTTAAGCAACTCCAGTGTTGCTGTGACTGTGCTTTGAGTGATTCTCGTGCAGAAACATGAACATTTTCCCCAGTTATGTCTTGAGCAGATTGAGACAGTTTTCTGTTCAGGCTTGCCTGTGTTGCCTCTATCAATTTACCTCAATCTTGAGTTCTTGATGATGAGAAGCAGCCAGCAAACATAATGTGGCCACCCCCATGCTTGACAGTAAAGATGGTGATGCAGCGTGTTGAGTTTGCTCCAGGCATAATGGTTTGCTTTTATACAAGAAAGGTATGGCCAATCTGAACGTAAAACCTTTTGCAACATGTTTACAGTTTCGCTTAAATGATTTGTTGCCAACTCTGTGCAGGTTTTTGCCATATAGATGAGCTTTGTGATACTGTCGACTTGGGACATATTCGCCCATCTCAGCCATTGAACTCAGTAGTTATTTCAGAGTTGTTGCTGGTCCCTAACCCGTTTCCATGGCTTCTAAGTTTGGAGGGGTGACATAATTTAGGCAGTGTCAGGGTAGTAAATTCCACCTTCCTGTTTTTGATGATTGGGTAGTGTGCCCTCACAGGGATATTCAGAGGCTCTGATGTTTATGTACCCTACTCCTGATCTGTGCTTAGATACTGGTTAGTTTATACTTGACTTGCATTGAAAGATCCTTTGTCTTAATGGCTGCATTTTTATCTGAAATTCGGTACTTGACCAATGAACCTCAAAGAGAGAGATGTTTTTTTTGTGCGTCTGAAATCATGAGGACCACTAATCTTGCATATAGACAAGTGATCATGTAGCTAATTGTGTGTATGTAAATTAATTTTGGTTTGCCACAGCAAAGGGTTGGAATACTTACGCAATCTTTAAAAAATATCTATTTCATATTATAACTTTCATATTATCTGTTTACTATTTATTTTATAAAATAGATTTTACCTATTGAAATAAGTATTTTTCTTGCTTTGAATATGTAGAGTTAGTTGTGTATATGACGAATATTAATTTCTATGCAAGAGTCTGAGTACTTTTGCATGGCACCCTGCCTACCTTTTGTAGAGACTAGACCATTTGTGTACTTGGGAATCCCAACCAACCAACTTTTCACAGGCTGGTGTACAAACTGATTAGGAAACAATAGTGAACATACTGTACATAAGTGATTGTGAATGCATGACACAACCTTTTGATCCAACTGAAATGCATAGAAATTATTTTCTGATGTATTAGAAAACCTCTTCTCTGTACAGCACTGTGCATTTATATTTAAACTTTATTTAATTTGTAGCAGCTGAACGTTTTTGCTCTTACTGTCTACTTTAATGTAGTACAGTACTACTTTTTTACCATTAAGGGGTTTGTGTGCCTTTCCATTCATCCAGGCTGATAGGTTTAAGTAATGTCAATACGTGAGTTCAGCTGCTCATTTTTCTAAACATAAAAGTTGATATTTGCAACTTTCAAAATGAGGAGAAAAGAAAAAGGAAGGAGCTGAAAGAGTTCAAAGTCAGAAAGTTTAATACAGCAGAGCCAACTTGCACTTCAGATTTACAGATGTAGGTCACAAATATAAACCTATGTCCTTATGTGTTTTTTTATTGAAGAACTTTTTCAATGATGATATGAAGCCATCATTATTAGAAAAGCACATAGCGATAAAGCATGCAATCTAAAAAATACTTTGAAATACCACTTGAAATGCCAGGGGAGATGTTCACACTGTAACATGAGTTTAGGCAAAGTAGAAGTGGTGTGAAAAGCCTTATAATGGTAATTCTCTAAATTACAAAATTTCATAAGTACGTAAGATCTGCAAATCTCTGATTTTGTCTCCTGCATGGGACAGTTGTAAAGCAGAGCTTTGTAGTGAGCATGCACATAAAGCTAAAAAGATACCACTTTTACAACATATTTTTTCAAAGACTTTCTGAAATGGTACATAATATGGAGCCATACAGATGCTTTCCAGAATGATGAGTTCACAAACAAGCAAAATAACGCCCAGGTGTTAGTAATTTGTTCAGTATATTTTGGGAAAAAGTAAATCATCACATTTTCTAAAGTTATTATAGTTTAATGCTATATTTTGCTTTAGATGTTAATGTGATGAATATTGAAAAAGGCAAACATGAGGTAAATGGGAAGATAGGTGGACACCATCTTGAATAACAATATTGCATCGTCATAAGAATGTTATTCATAATTTTAATTTGTATAGTGTTGCCCTGGTGTCTTTTGATCCTGAAGTTAACTTGTCATATTATGCGCAGGTATGCTCACCAGGAGAGGTGATTCAGGTGAAGATATTGGGCATTCTAGCTATGATTGATGAAGGTGAGACAGATTGGAAGATAATTGCTATAAATGCTGAGGACCCAGATGCTCCAACCTTAAACAGTAAGCATTTGGTACAAAAATGACTAATGTTTTGGATTTATTGTGAAAAAGCTTATAATGGACCAAGAGAAAGCCATAGTTTTTAAAAAATAATAAATCCCTATAAATGTCCTTCTACAAATTACACCTCTATTTCATTGTATGTATTTTTGTTGTTCCTTTCTATGTTGCAAAACTTTGTGTTTTGGAAAGGCATTGAAGATGTCCGTAAACAGAGACCTGGTCATTTGGAAGCAACAGTAGACTGGTTCAGAAGATACAAGGTGCCTGATGGGAAGCCAGAAAATCAGTTTGCTTTTAATGGACAATTCCAAAACAAGGTACCCTTATCAGGCTCATTTAAGTTTTTTCTTTCCGGGGTTTCTTCTTTCATACTGCATTAGTCCCGTTCATCTCAAAATCATTTACTAGGTGTTATTTATTTACTGTACATGAAGATGATGTGGTGCAGGCTGGTTAGTGATGGTTTTGCTTTACATTAAGTTTAATTAGTGGAATCCCATTGTAACCATAGTGGAATATTTTGCACTCAAAAAGCAGTTAGTACATTTGTCCATTTCAAAGTTTAAGCCTGCGAAAATAATCTAGAAATATAGTGCCTTGCGAAAGTATTCGGCCCCCTTGAACTTTTCAACCTTTTGCCACATTTCAGGCTTCAAACATAAAGATATAAATTTTTTATTT